CTCTAGTATGATTTATATATACAGGGATGTCCCCCTGGGTGGTGCTGGTGGTGCACATTATTTGGGGGGTGAAGGGTGGTACACACTACGGGGGGGGTGACAGGGGTGCAGGTGGTGCTCATTTACCTCCTGGCTCTGGCTGGCATCCCGCCCAGCTCACGGGCATCACTGGTTGCCAGGAGGTGAACGGGATGCTGGCCGGAAAGGGGGCGACAAGTCACCCCCACCACGTGTGACCCAAAGAGATGCCGCTTGAGGCCTCATCATAGGGACAGGCCGGGATATATGTATCAGATTTTTAGTAACATCACTGTACCTAGGAACCATTTATTTTGTATATTCTATTACAATCCTATAGGGAATTTCAACATACACAGGCATAACGCCCCATAATCAGAGACCTGATGGGATTTATAGTCTAATCACAATGCTGACATTTCCTACCTGTGTTTTAGGGCCATTTATTCCAACTGTATAGAGCTATTTCAGGCTTATTGACCATCATCAGTCCAATTATATGGAAACAATGGCATCTCTAAGGTAGAGCCCGGAGATCAACAAGGAGGTATCACCTCAAAAGATATAACTATATATGAGAACCATGTTTTCCAGTCTTTGGTCAGCGGTGTAGCACTATCTCTTCTTTTGCAATAGAGCCACTTACTCCAAACTGCATAGAACTGTTGCAGGCTTGTCGGCCATCATCGGTGCAGTTCATGGAAACCAAGGCTTTTGTAAGGTAGAGCTTGGGGATCAACGGGGAGGTATAACCTAAAAAGAAATAAAGAACTACAACCATTATTTCCACTATTTGGTCAGCTGTGTACAACTATCTCTCCTATTCCATAATGTACTGTCGAAGAAAATTAGAGATACAGCAACTAGATTAAAGTAGCTGAACCTTCCCTACTGGCCCTAAAGTTGGTAAACCCCAAATGAATGACATTGTTTTCCAAAGCACTGTGTATCGTGGATGGTGTGAATTTTCCCAAATTCAGATGCATCCGACTGTGTCCAAATCCCAATTTCCGTTTTCGGATCTTGTCCGAAATTTTGTTCAAAAACAAAACTGAATCATGACTTTTCTGGCCAATCACATGTCTGTTTCAGTTAAATGCATCCGAATAGGTCTGAATACGAATTTTCGTTAGGGCAACGCGTGAGCCATATACAGTATATACCTATAATACTAAAGCTGAGGCTCCTAGACCCGAATGGCAGTCGTGATCCGAATTTCCGAATTGCATTCGGGAGCTCCCGGATGCCATTCGGGTCTGGAAGCCTCACTTTTAGTAACATATGTATATGGCTCCCAGACCCGAATGGCATTCAGGAGCTCCCAAATGCAATTCGGAAATTCGGATCACGACTGCCATTCGGGTCTAGGAGATTCAGCTTTAGTATTAATATCTGTATATGGTTTTCTGTGGTAGTCGTAACGAATATTCGTTGGTAAACTTTTCCGAAACTAACAAAGATTCGTATATTTCATCCGAAACCCTGAACCGAATTGAATTTCGGACCCGAATCCCGAACTAACTAAATATATCCAAACTGAATTTTTCCGCAGCCCACATGTCTTGTGTGTGTGTGTGTGTGTGTGTATATGTATGTATAATTTGTGGTAACACCTCTGTAGCTCAGAGATATTTATTATTTTATTGCATGCCTGTATATGTGTCGGCACAACTGGGGTGCGCTAAGATATACCATTTCAATATCCATTACAGCATTATTTAATTTTAATAGTCTCTAGATTGGCCCACGGAACCCGCACACCATCGTTTGTACGGCATCTGTAGCTAAGCAATATTTGGCCGGCGATGGTTTGCATAGGTCGTTGTCCATCAGAGCGTGACTGATCCACAACACACACATTAATGTGGATGGATACACAGTAGACAGGTGTTATCGAGCGACATCGTACCTTAATGTATTTAACTGTGCCATACGGTCTCTTGGGCAATCACAAACAATCGCTATCTACGGCACAATTACGGCCAGAGCTGGACGTAAGCACTTTATGGGCCCTCGTGATTTGCCATTAATAGGCAGGTCCGGCTGCTTAAGCAATTATTGCATGGGGTTTTAACGTCAGAAAAAATTGTTTGCTCTTGAAAGGGAACTCATGCCAGGTTAAAATAAAAAAAAAAGACTCCTTATCATTTTAGATTTTGTAGGTGTCTCCGTCGCTCTTTCAAAGCATTTGCTATGATAATTTATTGGTAAGTGGACACTCTCAATGACTATGCTTTCATCTTCTTTTCTTTCCATAAGGAAGGTCCCATCTTTGTTCAAGCATCATCCAGGGTCATCATCTATGTCCTGAATTGAGATGCCGGCCCAGAGATGACTCAATTATCTAAATTCTGGTGGTCTGTGCCAGGGGCGTCACCAGGCCGAGTGTCACCCAGTGCAGCTGCCAGGTGTTACCCAACGCCCATGTCATTATGTAAAAACGTAATGACGTCACATGCACTTTACTGCTGGTGGCCATCTTGGTGGTGGATGCCGGCAAGGAGAGGTGGGAACATTCATCTGGCAGGATAAAGTATGCTTTTGGGTCCCCTCCTCTCTTGTGCAGCTGTCCATGACCAATTGCCCAACTTTTCAGAGGGAGTGACTGTCAGTTTTGGTGTCACACCCTCTGGAGCGGGCCAAATGTGAAAGTGTTATTATAATCCAGAAATAACAAGGGGCTATGATTATAGCACCCTAGAAAGATCTATTACTGCAAAATAAAATTCAAAATAATTAAAAACATACATATTTTGTATTAAAGGAGAACTATGGGGTTAAGGCTTTTCCCCATAGTTCTCCTTAGGGTAACGGGAAGACACAAACTAGCGTCCTCCCATCACACTAAGCTCAGTATACCGGGAGCTGGAGCTCGCGGTATACTGAGACGCCACAGCTGAAGCGGATCCCGACAATTATGTCTGGATCCGCCCAGTTGCGTGACTGACAGCTGGCTCTGCCTATATAGAGAATTTTAATAAAATGTGTTCATTTTTAGACAAAAATGTTTTAGTGCTCTGGACCTTTCTTGTCCTGGATAGAGTGGAAAAAGATCAGAACACCCAACAGGTCTTTATCGCTGTCTGTGTCCCCGTGAGGGAGCTTCATCCATACGTGCATTGCTTATAGCTTCCTCTCATGTCCTGTAGAGGTGCCTGGACCGGAGTGACGTCGCATTCTGGTTCACGGCACCTGTACAGGGCATGCATGGGAGCTATGCAAGCAATGCACATATGGATGGAACTCCATCACAGCACAGCAGCCCACACTGGACCCCAGGCTGAGGATCCACTCCAGTTCTTGTAAGGTAGGGAGACTGGGTGCATCTTAAAAAACAAAATTACAATTGTTTTTGGAAGTGTGTGTATGAGATTGTATCTGTGGTTGTTTGTGTTGTGTGTTTTTGAGTGCCCATTCACACTAGTACAGTGTGTTAATTACAGAGTCCTGTGCAAATAATACAATGTACCACGCAATCGCACCTACCGCGCGCTCTTGTGTGGGAGGTGTGTCGCATTGCCATTCATTTGAATGGCACCCCAAACGTACCTTCATTTGAATGGCACCCCAAACGCACCTTCATTTGAATGGAACCCCAAACGCACCTTCATTTGAATGGCACCCCAAACGCACAGTTCGATCGCCCGTACCGAAACATGCACTACTGTGATTTGGGTCACGACTTAATGACTAATTTCAAATGTGGGTCCTGAGGTTACACAGGTTGAGAACTACTGATTTATAGACCAAAAAAGCTGATTTGGAAAAAATTCTCCAGTTCAGCTCACTTTTCAGTTCAGCGATGTTGTCCCAGATTGTTCACTTTTCCAAACTCTTTACCCTTTTGTAAATAACCCTGTTTTTTTAAATTGTTTTTTTTTTTTTTTTTCCCCCAATAGTTATAATTTTTTTAGGTATAATACCACCTTAAAGGAGAATTATGAGGTGAGTGCTTTGCACTCAGCCTCATAATCTGAGCCGACCTGTGGCAATGAAACTGTCACAGGTCGGCTCAGTAGATCGGGAAGTGAGCAAACACATACCGGCGCTCGCTCACTTCTCGATCTATCCCCGCAGGTTAGCCGTGACAGGGGAGTGACTGGATTCCCCCCCTCCCCTGTCCGATCCTTCAGCGCTGACTGGAGGAACGGACAGGGGAGGGGGTGGTTACAGCTGGCTCTGCCTCTAGATAGGCAGAGCCAGCAGTAATATTAATTTTTGTGTGACGGGAGGACGCTAGTTTGTGTCCTCCCCGTTACCCTTCGGAGAACTATGGGAAAAAGCACTAACCCCATAGTTCTCCTTTTAAGATTGATTTGGCTGTGTTCATCCCCTTTTTTTTTTTCTTGGTTTGACATTTGAAAGTGACAGTACCCAAATCAATCAATGCTTCATATGCCAAACAATCTGATTTGGAATTTTCCAATTTAGCCAATTGCTCTCGCCTTTGATTGAACCTGCAGAATCGATTGAAAGTGGTTGAAGTGATGATGTAGGAAAATCTACAATGGTTAGATTCGATCAAATATCAAAGCACTTTTTTCTTCAAAAGAGTCTATTAATATGGCCTGACTTTTCTCCGAGCAGCCCACTACTTGAAAATCTCCCATATTGGGTGTCTCCAAGCATTCCCCCTCCTCCTCCTCCTGTTACATTTGTATTATTTAAAATGTATCTATTATCATGATGTGATTTCATTGTTTCACATACACTTACAGACAGATGGGCTTCCTGATTAGTCTGTATCTTCTGTATAGTTAAAAATAAGATTGTGCCAATATAGAAACACTGTAACCTAATATCAGGTTATGTGCCCTTGGTATTACTCTTTTCATTGTGAATTGCAGATTAGCTCAAAGCGAATGTTTGAGTTCTACCATTGTACAGCTCCTATCTAGCGTCTGGCCTTCAATTAACATTTTTCTTTTTTTGTTCTCTCCATAGAAAAAAGAATAGAGAGGAAAAAAAGATTAATTGTGAGTGACTGGAAGAGGACCCCCGAACATCATTTTGGTAAAAATTACAGTAGCTTTTTCTGTAACTATCTTGGTTCTGTTTTATCCGCTTGTCTTAGGGGTCTATTTATAAACAATTCTCAGAGCCCTTCACCCTGCAAATATCTGTGAACATTTTGTTTTGTGCTGATCATGGCAGAAATTAACATTCTAACACATATATGTGTTCTATTCAGGTCGAATGTATTGTGATGAATTCTGCATTATGGCCACTAGAGGATACTGGGGAGCATAGGAAATATTTATCAAACCTTTTGTGATGCTTATTTCACAACATGCCGTGCAATGATCTGCACATTATTTCATTTTGTTCTATGTTCTAGCTACAGTGTATGATTGTATATATAGCTAGAATTTTAAGACCTAAACTGGCAGAGGTCAGTACTGGTCACCAGGATTTCCTGTGGTCTCCCTGCAGATGATCATTTCACATGGTGTCTCTGTGTGGAGGTGGCCATCTTGGTAGAGGCAGGGCTTTGCCTCATCATATCAGGGATAACCCCCTGATGACTGATGAGTTGATGGGCAGGGCCTGATTTCCTACAAGGCCACCAAGGCCTGGCCTCGGGGTGGCAGGGAGTAGAGGGAGGGCAGGGGAGTGAAATTCCTTTCGCCCGATACCCGGGACATGCTTTTCCGGGCTGGTAGTTTTTCTACATTTAGTAATGCGTGTTGTAAAGTAGCCACCGCTCCAAACTCACTCCCGTGATGGACAACAATATCAGCTTTTTTAACCCCTTCATGACTGAGGCCCTTTTTTCATTTTTTGCACCCATGTTATATTCCACATTTTTAGACCTGAAAATGACTTAAAACCCCCCAACATTATATATTTTCTGAATGCCAAGACCCTATAGAATAAAATGGTGGTAGTTGAAAATTTTTATGTTGCGCAATATTAGCGCAACTCCTTATTAAACCCCAAAATTTAGTGACAAATTTAATTAAATGCCCCAAAACACAGCAAATTATCCATTTTTTTGAATGGAATATAAAAGATGAGGTTACAACGAGTAAAACAATACCCAACATGCCCAGTTTACAAATTGCGTGCGTCCGTGAAACGGCGAAAAACTGCAGTACCCCAAAAAGTCAATAAAAGACGCTTTAAATGCCCCCACAGGTCATCAATTTAGAGATACCCCAAAATACTGATACACTGTACGTCGTCAGTCACAAAGGGGTTAATTGAGATTGTATTCCATCACAGGAGTGAGCTTGGAGCGGTGACTACTTTACAACACACACAGGGACCATGGAGAACATAAGTAGCCCCCCTCCAGAAGGAAGGACAGTGTCAGCACCAATTCAGAGATGATTGGAGGATCTACAGCCGAGTGATACACAAATAAGATACATTTTTATTCATAGTTGGGGTAATTTAATGCATTTTTTAAGATTTAATTTTAAGAAATTAATTTTGGTGTCCCTTTTAAGTTCAAAAACCTTAGTTGAGATATTTCCCATTTGCAAGGAGTTTTCCCTGACAGTCTGGCATGCAATCTCAAATCTTGCATACTTCTGATGCCGGTACGTTTTAGAATCAATGCTTCTAAAAACAGAAAGGTCATGTCCGTGTTTTATCGATCCTGTGAAATCAGGGATTTTGTGCCAGTGGTATCCCACCTCCTCCTCCTCCTCCTCTTCTTCCCTGGTGTCCCTGGTGAGGCTGATTTTATGAAAAGTGGAATAGCTCAAAGCAAGCATGCCGTATTTGTAAGAGTAAAAGGCACAGAAGAGCACTGGATGCTTCAAGCCCCACTCCGGCACCAGAAATATAATATATTTTAAGCTGTTTGTGTCCCTGTTGAGGAGATCTCATCATCCTGTAAGGATGAGCGCACACAAAAACAAATTACAAAATGCATTTTTTTATTAGAGGAGGGAAAGCTTTGAACTTCTATCAATTATTTTATTCTTGCTCCAGTGACAACCACGCCCTCTTATTTTTTTTTTGTACGGGTGTCACAGGGACAGGACATTTCACCGATAGGGTCACATACAGAAATAAAAACCTTAAAAATATTTTAAGTCTTTCCCATTCTATCCAAAAGTTAAATAAAATTATACATCTGGAGATAACCTTCACAGACCATTAAAATATTTTTTTTTAAAAGACCGCTTTTGCTGCAATATTCAAACAAATTGCCATTAGATGCCCTCAGTCTGATATTCAGCATTATTCAACTCACTTCACTGAGCCTAGATCACCCTGGACTTATCCTGGATTCTAGCATTTAAAAATACATTTAATAATGTAATACAGTAAATTCTCTGTTATCCGGTATTCAACTAACCAGAACTCTCATCTAACCGGAAAAAAAATCCCCCTGTGTACTCAAGGTTTTGCTGATCTGCGCCATGTATTATCCTGGAAACGACCATGTGTCTGTTTTGTCTTGCTTTTGCTTTCGATTACTGCATTTCAATATTAATGTGAAGTTAATACAGAGTTTGTTATGGTATGGGGTATTGCATAGTATGGGGTATTGCATAGTATGGGGTATGGCATTAGTTAGACCTATTTTTAATAGTAACTCTCAAGCAACCAGAAATTACATATATCCAGAATCTACCAATCCCTGTGGATGCTGGATAACGGGGAGTTTACTATAGTATTAGAGAAGTGTATTAGTCTATTTTATATCTGCCTGGAGTTAAGCTTTAACATGTGGCATTTAAGGTGTACGTTCTCTTTTTGAGGCTGAATCATTGTAACGATCTAGCCCAGGGGTAGCCAAACTCTGGCCCTACAGCTGTGGTGAAAGTACAAATCCCAGTAGGCATTGTAAGACTCTGATAGCCACTGGTGTGGCTTCCAGAGAAAGATGCATGATTAGATGTGTAGTTCCACCACAGCTGGAGGGTTGGAGTTTGGATACCCCTGATCTTGAGCCAAGGGCTCTTTTTCGTAGATCTGTCCTAAAACCAGATGACGTTTACAGTCTCATCCACCGGTCATCTGTCTGCAAGGGCAGCAACCTCCCTGCAATTGGGGTATTGGAGGCGGACTCTACATTAGGGTGCGGCTATAGGCCAGTCCAGCACAGACTCCGCCTCCTTATATTCCTGCTGTAGAGTAGGGTGAGTACCAATTCAGAAATACAAGAGGACTATGGCAGCAAGATCTTATGGGCATTTTTGTAAAGTAAGGCAAAACCATTATAAGTAGTCTTTGGTTCTAACACTTCTCTTTTCATTTTCTCATATATTTTCTTAGAATTAATTTGTCAAGTCAGGACCAGCTAATGTTATTAAAATGACACTAAACTCAGGAGTTAAATCTTAAGAATGCATTCAGGTATCTTTTTAACTATGAACAAAAATGTCTCTTATTTGTGTATCACTCGGCTATAGATCCTCAAATCATCTCTGAATTGGTGCTGACACTCTCCTTCCTTCTGGAGGGGGGCTACGTCTGTTCCCCATGGTCCCTGTGTGTGTTGTAAAGTAGTCATCACTCCAAGCTCGATCCTGTGAAGCACTACAATCTCAATACAAATGAGTAAACTGAACCTGAGATTGTAGTCCATCACGGGAGCAAGCTTGGAGCGGTGAATAAAGATTTCCATTTTTGGGGCTGTTATACATTTTGTCTATCTCTTTGCTTTTGGCACTGGCTGAATGGTGAGCTTCTTTCAAAGAGCACCTGTACTGTCCTATAAAACATAATTCTGAGCTTCAAAAAAAAAAACAAGAAATGTTTTTTTTCTATTAACATGAAAACAAATCTTTAAGAATTCTGCAGGCAGTGATTAATGCCAACTACACCTCCACTTCTTTTATGCCAGTCTCGCTAATGGGTCTACTAATTATAGTCGTGTCTTTCAGATAATGTGTACTTTGATAATTGTGCAGCCTGGAAACTAATTAACTTGTCTCATTCTCCTTTTTGGTGTTTCAGCGCACCTCGAAAGTCAAGCCAGCAGCCTAATGGCCAGCAATAACACAGCCAATATAGCACAAGCCAGGAAGCTTGTAGAACAGTTGAAGATGGAAGCCAATATTGACAGAATAAAGGTATGGCTCATGGCTGTCATTTGATGCACGGGATTGTCCTGTATTAGATCCCTCAGCTCTGCCCATCTGCCACAACTGTCATGAGAAAGTCTTGGTCTCCTTTTGGATTGTCTATAGAGGTAATGAATACAAAGTTTAGATGATGTCATTATTTTGTTTGATGGAACAATCAAAAAAAACACTTCAATACACATTGGAGGTCTCGCTTAACTCATTAGAATGTTTTAGGATTGCTCCATCAAATAAAAGGGTTCGATTTTTCGTATTCCATCTCCAATCTTTCCAATCCTTGGTGTTCTATATTGAAGTGTGCAGGAGAATCCTACCACACTCCTTACTGGTATGTCCCTGGCGGTGGGTGCTCTAGTGACTGCGGATGGCGCCGCTTCAGATTCAAGTAGTAAAATATATCACCAGCACACCGTGGTCAAATCTTCAGAAAGTGATCATTTTATTGATGCGCACTGTGACAGACTCCCTGATACCCCGACTGGATATCTCCGTCTTAAGGCTGTTCCCTGGGTGCTGGAACCAGAAGCAAGTGAATATAGCAAAGGCTTACCCCAAGAATCAGACAACACTGACTTTGGAGTGGAAACATGAACTGGTATATTGAAAAAAGCACACCGAGTTTATGCCTCACAGAATCAGATAACAGTTTAGGGTGTTACCTTGAACAATCCCCTGCCCCAGATAGCCGGGTGCCGCATTGGCATTCCTTAAGCACAGACACTCTTTGAAATGAATGTCCTTAATTAGATAAAAGCTTGATCACATCACCCTAAACAATAGCCACTCCAGACAGCCTGCCGCCCCTACAAAAACACGTTCAGCAGAGATGGCATCCAAACAAGATGGAAGTCCGGATGGTTCAAATCAAGTCAAATGGTGACATGCTCTCTCTAGATAAAGTATTAAACAGGAAAAAACACACAGCAATTAAAGTTCTCTGCGGTAATATATCTCTGCAGCCCTAGGTCCGTCACACACACCTCTTGTCTATAGCAACGTTTCGGGGTCCCTTTCTCAGGCATGACAAGTGTGGGAACACCAAAGTCATGAAGGACCTCTGACAATGGGCCTGCTCTTTTCTTGAGAGCAGCCTCAAGATCTAGTACTCCAATCTGAAACCAATACACCAAATCATTCCTTACGATTAGTCATGGATTTTGTCTTTCTACATTAGAACTGTAACGCATAGAAGACATAACAAGCGAGTTGGCCTCCATTCGGGCTCTGCACCCATTGCACCAAGGGCTTGATCTCAGCTGAACTGGGGTTACCAAATGTCCCTCACTGACCACAGAACATCACAGCAAGTGACGCCAACAGCTTTTATATGGAGACAAAAATAAGCATGGCTTTTCTGTAAGGTGGAGCAGTTCTTTTGGTATGGGAGTGGGGCTAAAGGAGGAGCTTTACCCATATCTTCAAAATAATAACAGAGGCACCTTTTAGAAATGTTTAGTAATGACAATCTACAAACAGATACTTCTAGATAATTGCCGGCTTTTTATTCTTTGCATACCTTATTTTTCTTTTCCTCCCCATTCTTCTAACAGTGGCCATTTTAACTAAGTGCGGGTAACTTAAAGTGCGGGTAACTTAATCTCCCTTTACTTCCTGGAACTCTGGCCCAGGTGACATGTGACCATGCACGTCTATAATCTAACAAGATCTCAGAGAAAGGCATTTTCCTCCTTCTGAGATCTCTTTAGATTACAGATGAGATTTCCCAGCGATGCTCTGCTGATGTAACCTTCCCAGGATGCAACGTATGGGCAAAAATTACATCATATGTGCCAAAGTGGACAAAAATAAACTGTAAGTAAAAGCAAAATGTGTGTGTATCTAATGAATGCAAGATGATTTCATATCCGCATGCAGAGCTGTATGCTGATGTGATTTTTAGTCAAAGGGGGTAAAGTTCCATTTTTAAAGCTGAAATTCAGCCTTACCTCACGTCAGCACAGTTGCACCGGCTCCTCTCCTGGACTGAAATTGTTTATTCAGATTTCACTGAACACTGTGTGTCCCTCACAATGGGCATTAGAAGCTGCAGCCCGTCTCATTTCCAGGTTGGAGGACATCCAGCACCATCAAGCCTTTTCCTCCCCAGTCTGAATGTCCCTGGCTCGCCCCTTTCATTCATTGGAATTTGCTTCTTACATTCAATGGAGGCTCAGCATGACATGTGGGTGTTACCTAGGGTGGTCTGCCTGCTTAGGAACACCCACTCCTCCAAACTTGTACCTGCCTATGAAGGCCCCTATTTATTGCATAAGGAAGCACAAAGACCCAGTGACAATGTCACTGGGTCCAAAATTAATAAAAATTGAAAGGCTTTCTTTAAAAAAAGTAATTAGCATGGGGTTTGGGGGGGGATGTAAGTAAACTGAACTTCGGCTTTAAGGAGAATATGTCACTTTGCCTCCTTTATAAACAACTCCAAACAAAAGACATTTTGTCATATTTATGTCAAGTTCAGATTCCCTCAGATTTCCACAGGTTTCTGTAAAATAGTTTTTCCCGGAAATAATCCCAAAATCTGTTGTACGAGATGACCCTTCTTCTAAGATTATCAATTTGTCCTGAAGCCGCCATCTTGAGTCACACACATCCACTCCTTTGAGACCAACGTCTTTCTCTTCTTCGAACCTCCTTCTCCTGCCCTCCCAGCAAACCGGTGATTATGTGTCCCCCCCCCCCTTCTGTTTAATAAATGCATTAAATAACATTTTCCTTAACCACGCATTTCGTTAAAAATTTAATGCATCGGAAATCAAACCCCAGCTGAACTTCCCTTCATCAACGGATTTGAATGCACCACGTGAACTCCCGGAATGGAGCGGCTTGTATTCCACCCATGGTGCTATGAATAATGGAGCTGAACGCTTCAAACGGAGAGAGATGGTGGGGAGATGCAGATGTATTTGGATAATTTAGAGAATCGAGCTCCTTGTGTCATTAGCCCAGCTGCATTTTTCATAAAGCTGAACCCACCCACTGTTCTTCTGTTGACATCTATTAATGTTGTTAGATTTGTGATGCTAACGGAGACATTGGCGACAATTATAGAACTGGCACCTGCACCCTACTTAATTTTTCTGACGCTGATGTTTTTTGATTTCTTTTTACAATTCCCTGTGTTATATTTTAGCATTTTTCTTTTACTATTTTGTGAGGTAAATCATTGGCAAAAATATTTTGTTATAGTAATTGCCCAATATGTCTAATTTTAAGCTTTTGTTTTTGTTGGTTTAACCACTTCAGCTCTCAAACCTGTACATCCCTTATGGGCAAGATCATTATTTATTCTTTTCATTTCCGCTATAGGACCTACTGGTTTGGTGATAACATTGTCATTCTATTAGTGTTGGCAGCTTGATGGTAACAACCAATCCAATGCTTTCCTACATTTCGTAGCTACATAAAACAAAAAAAACTAGAGGTGCACTAAAATCGAAATCTCAAAACAGAAACGAAACCGAAACAAAATTGTCAGGCCGAAACCGGAAAAAAAAAATGATTTCAATTATAATGAACAGGAGTCCTCTATACCAGTGGTTCTCAACCTGTGTAACCTCAGGACCCACATTTGTCCTCGGTCATTAAGTTGTGACCTAAGCTGCACTGCTATAGAATGCACGGCAGTGTGGGCTGCTGTGCTGTGAGGGAGCTCCATTCATATGTGCATTGCTTGTATAGCTCCCATGCGCGGCTGTAGAGGTGTCTGGAGTCAGAATGTGATGTCACTCCAGTCCAGGCACCTCTACGGGACACATGAGGGAGCTGTAAGCAATGCAGCTGTGGATGGAGCTCCCTCACGTCCACACCCCCAGCCTACCCCAAGTCGGCAGTTAGTGCCGGGCAGCATATTTTGAATGGCTGCTCGGTGTGTGAACTGACTCGGTGTGTGCTGCGCTAGGGGGGGCTGTGGAGCCTCTCACCTAGAAAAGTGGAAGGCATGCAGCGACCCACTGAACACGACCCACCAGTTGAGAACCAAGGCTCTATACTGAGTGTTCCTGTTCATTGATAACATGAGAACATTGTGTGTTTTTCTATAACCACAACTATGAATGGACAGGAGGTGATGTAGATCACTTGCCATTCATTCATAATTGAGGATATAGTAACCATACTCTGTCCTCAATTATCTACAAACACTCAGCGATCACTGATCTCTGGCTGCTTGTAGCCGCTCTCCTCTCTGACACACTGGGTTGAATTGATCAAAACTGGAGCAGACGGAATCTCGAGCAAGTTGCCCATGGCAACCAATCAGCTTCTCACTTCTGTTTATTTAGTTAAGACTTAGCAATGAAATAGAGAAGCGGATTGGTGGCCGTGCACAGCTGCTCCCAGATTTTGTCTACTTCAGTTTTGATAAATTCCCCTCACTGTCACAGGAGGCTGAGCGAGCGCAGTGGGAGGAGAGCTCCAGGGTGTGACAGGGTGGGCTGTCTCCGCCCACACACCACTCTGCCGGACTGTGATAGGAGGCTGAGCGGTGTGGGAGAAGAGATCCCGGTGGCTCACAGCGCTCTCCTCCCGCAGCGCTCAGTCGGCTGTCACAGTTTCTCTCCTCCCCGCTGGGACACAGAGCAGCGCCCAGCGGGGAGGAAAGAAAACAGGGATGCGCCGATGTATCTGCAGGAAAATGGCACTTTCGGCGTTTAGCCAAAAGTGCAATTTTCGGCCGATATGTTTCGGCGGCCGATGTATCGGTGCATCCTGATTACTGTAACCTGATTACTGCAACAACCACTGGGATGGTTTCTTACCTTTTATAATCTACATATAAAAAAGCTGGAACCTGATTATTGCAACAAACGCCAAGATAGTTGCTTACATTTTACAACCTTTAAAAAGAAAACATACCTGGGACCTGATTATTGCAATAAACACTGAGACGCTTGTTTTACATTTTATAACTTTAAAAAAATAAACAAAAAAGCCCTAAGCCACAATGTGATTACTGCAACTACCACTGAGATGGTTGCTTACATTTTATAATCCACATAAAAAAAAACCCTGGAACCTGATTAACAGTAACCAATGAGATCCTTGATTGAATTTCATAACTTCATTAAACCGGATTACAATACAAACCACTCAATTTTCCTTTCCTCTTGCCTTCATCTTTGAGGACAAGCTTGCAGAATTGCAGGAGGATTTTTTTCTTCTATAAACTGTAAATACACAGAGGAGTTAGGAAATGTGTTATTTCTGATCATACATGGGACACTGAAGCCACAAGAAGAAGACTGCAGGTCTATTTAATTGCTGAAAATGGCGCACATGAAAATGCGCCCTTTCCGAGTCTTCTCTGCCCCACTCTGAGGCTGTGAGGATCCACAATGTGCTGAATAATAGATATCCTGCTGTGCAGGCTTCCAGAACTGTCTAATATATGGCTGGACCATGGAACAAGAAATTATTTTTATTATCAAGTAATAAGGTTGAAATCTCACGCTGGACTGAATTATTAAAACTGGTGCTGAGGGAAATCTAAGGTTCTTGCCAACAGCAACCAATAAAAGGTTTCGCTATTGTTGTCTTACCTGCGATGAGACAATTAAACCGGTGACCCGGGCGGAGATATGTCCAACCAGGGAGCCTTTATAGATGGATTGCTAGTCATTTGTTGGTCAAGCTCTCCTTTGGTGACTCCACTTTAAAAAAATGCAAGTCATCAGCTTAAAGCCCAACTCCAGGCACAATACATTAACCCTCAGTTGTCACTTTGCTGTCATTGTTAGACCTGCCTCCTCCTCTCTGCAAATCATCAGTATACCCAGGGCCAGATTTCCCACAAGGCCAACCGAGGCCTGGCCCGGGGTAGGGTTGCCACCTTTTCTTCAAGCGAAACCTGAACACTCTAGTGAGGCGTGGACATTTTTTTAATGAGTCATGGCTTATTCATATGTAAATAGAGCCACCCATTCATATGTAAATATCACAGTTGAGACTATTTTCAGTGAGGGGCCAGTAGCCCCAATCTTAATTTTGGTTGCCCCTGTCGTCTGCCTGACATCTTGTGTGCGGGTTTCTCCTGCCATGAAACCCGAACAGAGCATTCAAAACCCGAACTGTCCAGGTGAATCCTGGACAGGGGGCAACCCTACTCGGGGGAGTAGAGGGGCAGCAGGGGTGTGAAATGTATATCTCCCCGATGCCAGGGACATGCAGCTAGTTGTTGTTTTCTACATTTAGCCCTGCTTTGGGTAAGCAGGGCTAAATGTACAGCGGAGAAGCTGCCGCTTGTTTTGTACAAGTGATCTCGGCGAGGTCGCCGAGATTACTTGTATGCAGCCTGCATACAGGGGGGCACATTGAGGAACCTGGCATTGGGGCAGCAGAGAGAGTAAATCCGGGCCTGAGTTTACCTGTGGGTGATTAGTCCAGCTGTAATGAGACTCTAGCACTTTTTCTAGGGACTGGTCACCTCTGCTTACATGTGCTTGATGACCAGTCTCCTCAACATCCACTGCTATTCAGCTCAAAGACCTCAGCCCTAAGGTCGCATCGGTTTATAACCAATTTGCAGAGCCATTTACCTACAAATCTTTCTGAACATTCGTTCTGTGTGAATAGACCCAAAATGGACACTCTTAGATCTATTTTCCCTTCAGGTCAATGTAATGTAATACTGTATTTTGGCCACTAGAGGGAGCTGAGGAGTTTAGGAAATGGGTATTTTTTTTTCCTCAGCTCCATCTGGTGGCCATAAAGCTGTATTACATTACATAACATTGATTTTTTACAAAACAAGCAGCGGCTTCCTCTATCTACATTTACCTCTGCTTGTCCCAAAGCAGGGCTAAATGTAGGAAACAACTACCAGCCCGGCGCCCGGAACTGCATGTCCCGGGCATCGGGAGATAGGAATTCCACACCCCTGCTGCCCCTCTCCTTCCTTCCGCCCCGAGGCCGGGCCTTGGTTGGCCTTGTGGGAAATCCGGCCCTGGAGCCATTTATCCTTTTCAGCATGTCTTTGGAGTGTGGTGGGAAACTGGAGTACCTGGAGGAAACCCACACGAGCACAGGGAGAACATGCAAACCCCTTGCAGATAGTGACCTGACTGGGATATATTTGATAGGATTAATTTTTGCATCTATTTGCACAGAAGGAACGTTCAGAAAACTTTTCTGGGTGAATGGCTCTGAATTGGTTATAAATAGATCCCTAAATGTGTTATTTTACATCGGCTAAAAGGTAGAGGTTGGGTGCAGTTGAGCTTCCAGTCATTGAAAGTCGAGTAGTTTTTATCCAGTATTTATTTTATTTGGCGATTTTGTTGTCGAGCGCGTTCAACCATTTTTTAAAACCGTCCCTTGAAATGTGGCTTTGTGTTCCAGGTATCGAAGGCAGCGGCAGACTTGATGGCCTACTGCGAAGCCCACGCCAAGGAAGACCCATTACTGACCCCAGTGCCTGCTTCAGAAAACCCTTTTAGAGAGAAGAAGTTTTTCTGCGCCATCCTGTGAAGCGGGAGCCGCGCCTTCAGGCTCCTCCACAAAATGCCGATTTAAGAATTTTTAACATCGAGGACTCCTTTTACAGTCTGCAGAAAAAAAAAACCAGCAACCGCATAACAACAAATAATACGTAATAGCTGGAAACTCGGATGCCCGTGTGCGCATAACACGGCACCCATTTGGAACAAGACAAAAGTTCTTACGACAAGACCTGCTGTCTTTTTCCAGGTCGTAGAAAAAAAAACAAAAATGTAAAGTATAAAGCTTTGTGACACTTAAGATCCTGTTTCTTTAGGGTTTGTTTTTATTATTATTATTATAATTATTTTTATTACCATACTGTTTTTTTGTTCCTGATATGCTCTTAATTTAAAAAATTGTTTAAGTTGTCATTACTAGCAGCAGGAAAAAAAAAAAACATTTTACAACAGTGTTTATATGTCATATTTTGATATTGTGCGTTGTTAGAGTAGCACAACGATGGTTTTCACGATTTGGGATGGTTTAAATAAATCGATTTTCACAACACGTACATAGGGACTTTGCAGTATGCCACCGTTCACTATAAAGATATTGCTATTTTGTGTTCTTAAAATACAGAGGGGGGAGGGGGGGGGGACTTACCACGATTTGTAATATTTTTAATGTAGTTTTTGATTCTGCAAAAAAATATTGTCTAGTGCCATCGTTTTTAAATATCGATTTCTAGTGAAACTTTACAAAGCCTTCTGCGCGGAGGCGAAATTATGCCACACGTATCCTAGTGTAATAAGCTGTAAGTGAACTGTTACTCTGCTGTTTGAGAAGGTCCCGTGATTTTGTAGTAGATATAACAGTGCAAAAGGAAGAAAAAGAGGAAATGGCGGGCGCTACGTTCAACTTTTTTGTTTTATCAAAAGGTTTTTGAGTACAAAAGCCTTACTAAGCCAAGTGTCACCCCACTACTGTTTTAAATTGCACCCATTTTTGTATAAATGTACCATGGCGGTTCTAGAATGGTGCTGTCTAGTTTAGACCTTTAAGGTCAGGAGCCTTCCATGATTTTGAGATTTGTTCTTTTTAAAGCTGGACTCCAGGCAAACAGCTGAATACAGAAAATAAGCACAAAGGGGGCGCCTTTCCTGGTGCAGGTCAATTTTATTTCAATAATCATGAGGTAAAAACAGAAAGGTACTCACAAACATGAGTGTCACACAGCCATGGAATGAAATGGGGGCGTGCCCCGGAAACGCGTTAACGTCACTAGCACACAGGAATCGCCCAGTGGATGTCTAACTGCCTGTCAGCTTTCATTCCATGGCTGTGTGACACTCATGTTTGTGAGTACCTTTCTGTTTTTACCTTACGATAATTGAAATAAAATTGACCTGCACCAGGAAAGGCGCCCCCTTTGTGCTCGTTTTCTAGACTCTCAGCTTTCCCGGCTTCTTTGGGGCAGCATCCTGCAGCATGCCCAAGAGGATTTCCCATTGAGGATTGATAGTTTGTGGCGCTTTACTGCTTTTACTTTAAACAGCTGAATACAGTTGATGGGATCCATATATGAGAGCTGATTTATCTCCAAAAAGATTTGTATTTCCATCCATCCATTTCTGGGATAGACTATATGGCCAACATTTTGTGGACACCTGACCTTTGAACCCGCTAAATAGACACCAAATGATTGAGTTGAGTGGTCTCCAGTGAAGGATACTGTTAGGACTACACCATACAAAGACCTTTTAGACAATTGTACATTTCATCCTTATGGTAGCAGTTTAGGGAAGGCCCCTTTTTACGTTCCAGCAGGACTATGAACTTGTCAAACCGTGTCTAGCTTTGCACACAGGGGCATAGTCCTGCATGAACAAAATAGGCCCTTCCCCCCTAAACTGCTGCAATAAGGTTCAAATCATCCTAAAGGTGTTCAGTAGAGCTGAGGTCAGGGATCTGTACAGGCCACTCAAGTTCCTTCACATTGAACTTGTCAAACCATGCCTAGCTTTGTATACAGGGGCAATCTGAAGGAACTTGAATTGCCTGTACAGATCCCTGACCTCAGCTCTACAGAACACCTTTAGGATGATTTGAACCTTATTGCAGCAGTTTAGGGGAAGGCCCTTTCATGTTCCAGCAGTGCCCCTGTGTACAAAGCTAGACATGGTTCGACAAGTTCAATGTGAAGGAACATGAGTGGTCCATACCGATCCCTGACCTCAACTCTATTGAATACCCTTTGTGATGAATTGAACCTTATTGCAGCAGGTGAGGGGAATGTCCTTTTAATATTCCAGCAGGACTATGCCCCTGTGTACAAAGCCAGACATGGTTTGACAAGAAATAGAGGCACTTGAGTGGCCTGCACGTAGCCCTGCCCTCAACTCTATTGAACTCCTTTTGGATGAATTGGAATGTGGATTCTGAGTCATCCAACATTGCTACCTGTTCTCACAAGTGCACTATACACCATCCTAGTAGACCACGCCGGCAGGTGGATGACACCACTTTTTTCTGTTACAGTTGAGGAATACAATGGTGTCCCCTCTCTCCAGCCTGCTGACTAGACCACTAAAGAGTAGCAGCAGACTGATGCAATCATCTCTCTCTTCACTTTCCTTGTAGGGCCATTTTTGTGCAGTATACCTGATCACTTCCTAGTTCTGGCTCTCCCAATCTAAGCTCTCCTGTAGAGGCAATTGCAACAGGCTGATGTCTAGTCAAATTTGAGTTCTTATACTAGTTCTCTTTAAAAAAAAAAATACATTGAATGATGTGTTAATGAGTACACACCTGCATTACTAGTGTCTTTTATATCTGGCTGGAGTTCAGCTTTAAGCAGAGCAAAAATAATCCCAATTTAGTTCAGGAACTGAAAATGTTGAGTGAGCGCGCGAAACACTGGGATTGTTCCTGGCCCTTGAAGACCAGAGTTGGACAGCCTTGTAATCTGCAGACAGCTAGGTTCCATTTGTACTGTTCCTGCATACTCTGCCTTTGCCTCTTTCTTCCCCATTACCCTCATAGCATTGCCATGGTAAGAAGCCGATAAGATGGGTGCCAAACTCAAGCTTTAACATTTGGATTTCAAAGACGACAGCGTGAAGTACTCTTTGTACCGCCTTCAGCATTATACCTACAACAAAGTCGGGTCCGTCTCAACAAGCAGCCAAGATGCTGAAAGAGCCTTAGCCATAGAGCCTCTCCTAAAATGCATTAACAGCTGTATGTGTCTGTACCGTGCAGGAGGGCCCAGAACTAAAGACAGGAACTTGACTTTCCTACTGGCCAGAACATTGTGCCATTTATGGGTTCACTTATTTTTATTTCAGCTTTTTGAAAAAAAATATTTGAGTTTAAATAGGATTCTTTACATTCAGTGTGATTTCCTGTTATCACCATGTTTCTGGAATATTGAAATTCATCTATAATAGTTATTGATGGTCCTGAAATGTTCCTTGTGGGATAATGGTCAGTCCCTTAGGCCCTATACACATGGGGCCAGGCCAGCCAGGGGAGTTTGCTGCAGTGTCTAGGTGGCTCCCTGTGGGCTGTGCAGAAGCTGCGATGGGGGGGGGGTGTAACGTAAAGAGCTATTCTAATCTTTTCAATGCAGCGTAATGCTAATGTCATGCTAATGTATACAAGCCCTTGGATTTTATTTGCTGCTCCTGGTTCTCTACAGTGCTGGTCACATGTCTAAAGGCCTAGGCATTTCGTCATGTGATAATCTACCAGAGGTCAGGGTACATTTAGCAGATACCATGTGACTGAGTGTAGGCCTTCACGGGTGCTGCCAGCACTACAGGGCAGCTGGAGCAGCATTTGCTCCAGGAACGATTAGCATTTCAATCCTACTGTTACTTTAAACTGTATCTAAACCCCAAAACAAAAATGGAATATATTGCAGCTGAACATTCCTTAGACGTGGTGGCTGCATTTGTTTTCTTTTTTCAGGCTCAGAACATTTGGAAGCAAATACCCATTGATCCTTTCAGGAATGCAGTGTGCTCCTGTGAACAAGAAAAGTATCTAGATTCCTTCTTCCATGCTATAGATATATAAGACCATGGACGGGAGAATCTCCCCTGCCGGCTGCCGGTGCTGTCGGTATATCCAAACAGTAACTGCTACTGATTGGTCTCAGTCCCTCCACAAATACAGTGGAGCTAAAAACATAGACCTCAGGGTACAGGAAGTGTGTTATTCGCAGGATCACCAGGTGCAAATAAAGGAAAAACCTGAAGCCAAGAAAGATAATGCAGCCACCAATATCTAAAGACTGGTAAACTGCAATATATTACATTTTAGTTTTTGGGATTAGATAGATTTGGGATTTTTTTTTTTGCTGTTGAAATTTTTTTTTGCCATTTGGATGCTTTCACTTGGCGGCACAGTGACCTAGGGGTCTGTTTATAAATAGTTCATCCTGTGAATATTTGTTTTGGGCAAATAATGCCAACAAGGAATGTTCCTGATTCCAGTTCAAATGTATTGTCATGTAATGCAAAATTTTGGCCACTAGATGGAGCTGAGCTGCATAGGAAATATGTTTATTATTTCCTATGCTTCTCAGCTCCATCTAGTGGCCATAATGTAAATGACCGTATCTTCAAACTGGAAAAAATATATATTAAGAACAGTAGTTTTTGGCATTTGTTTGCCCCAAAATGAACATTCACTAGGCCCAGGCCCCTACAAATTGTTAATAAATTGACCCCATAGTGTCTGCGACTGCCGGGTGCATTTCTGATTAAACCGAGGCCAACTCTTTTGTAATTTTAGCTCAGGGTAACTTGTATATCTCCTTAAGACAGTACCTTAGTGACCTCCTGCAGCGACTTCTGCTACAGCAGAACCTATTCTACGTGCGGCTCATAGGGCGGCTTTAAAGTTTTGCCGTGTTTTTTTTTTTTAAAACCAGAACAGGCATTCATTTCACACATTGCGATGTACAGGGTACTGAGTCAATGCACTCACCGAGGTTCGTCTACTCACACTATGGTTACTGGCACTGATGTAATGTCCCCCCACCGCTTGTCATAGTGCCCTTTTAGGCACCAGAGGTTAACAGAATAGTCCTTTGGGTACCCCACTCTGCTTGCCTCCTATCATTCAACACATT